TAGGATTGTGGAAGGATTGATTTAGAAAGTTTTTCTTTCTATTTCTTTCTTTCTATTTTTGTACTTTCTATTTTCTCTTCTTTCTATTTTTTCTTCTTTCTATTTTTCTTTCTTTCTATTTATTGCAGCAGCTTACTATATAAATATGCCGATTGGCAATAGAATGAAACATATCAGTATTCCACCATTCCAAAACACTTTTCAACCAAGATTTTTTTATGCAACCAAAGAAAAGAGAGAAGGTTATGTGTAACCCAACAAAGGCAGCTATTTGTTGGGTGATTTGGGAAGAAAGGAATAACAGAATATTCCTGGACAAGAGTAGAACAATTGAGGAGGTAATTGACACAATTAAAGTTAAATATGAGGAATTAAAGTTAAATATGATCTTTGCATATTTTTCAAGAGTTCTCAGTCATGGACATTATAAGATCCTGGACAGAAGTAGCACAATCTTCAAGAGTGAAAGAGAGTAAGGATGGAAAGGAAACCTCTAGATGGTAACAGAATCAAACTGAATTTTGATGGAAGCTCTTTTGGAAATCCGGGACTGTCAGGTATTGGGGGAGTGATCAGAAATTATGATAGGAGAATATTAGCATTATTCTCTGGACCTATTGGCATGGGCAACTCTCTAAAAGCTGAGTTAATGGCAATGCTACAAGGATTGAAGATAGCTAAGCAACTAGGAATGAGGCATATTGAGGTTGAAGGGGACTCCAAGGTGATCATCTCTTGGGCTAAAAACAATAGAACTACTCCATGGACTTTCAAACAAATGATAAGGGAAGTGGAAAAGGTCGCAAGGGAGGTAGAGGCTGAATTTAAATGGGTCAGAAGGAGTAAATGGGCTAGCCGATTATCTTGCTAAACAAGGGGCTTTGAGGCAACAATTGTTTTGGGCTGCAATGTACAGAGGGACAGAAATATGTAATAGTGTGGGAGATTGAATCCCATACACAAAGTTGCAAAATTTTAAATCTAATATCAAATAAAATTCTTCTTTGCTGATAAAAAAAAAAAAACATATTTTTGTAATGGCCAGGGATAAATGGACCCAGAAACCTAGCTAGGTGGTGGATTGACCAGTTTGGCCAGCCTACCAATTATGGGTTGGAAACGTTGATTTGCATGCTAACTTTATTTATAGTCAATTGAGTAAAAGTGGGTTGGTTAATATTTGATTCCAATTAGAATGGAGACAGTTGTAGGATAAAGAGTTAAATGTTGGTTGGGATATATTAAAATGGATGAGATATGGATCATAATTTATGTATTTATTTGGATCTAAATCTAAGTCTGGTAAGGCAGTAGGGCCTAGAGCTTTTTGGATTGAAACTCAGATTTTGTTGGATGTCATAACTCTACCCTTTCTATGACTCCTCTGAATTTTGTGATTTTTTGAATTAAAAAATAAAAAAAAATCAAATGTGGGCCTATTTAAACTTACAACAAATTCAGTTCCCTTTTTATTAGGACACTGAATCTAATCACACCCTTGTAGAATATGGGTTATCTTTGGCACCAATCTAGGCATCGCATGTGGGTTGCTTCTAGTATTTTAAGATGTCATAAAATATCATTTAACAATTGTGTTAGTGTTTAACTAATTGTGAGATATAAGAAGCGAAATAAATGATGAAAAATACCTAATATTTATTTTTAAATAAGCAAAAATCCAAACAAATTAGCTCTGTAGGTTCCAGATTTGGCTAGGCTGTCAGCTAGTGTTCAGTTCCCTAGGGATCCAAGCTAGCTTCACATTCAGGGAATTTAAAATGTGTCTAGCTTCAGTCAGTAGATGTGCAAGCTTTCAGGGACCTCCAGTCTTCTGTTGTAACCACTTTATTGTTTTAGCTGAGTCACCCTCGATAGATAAGGAGGAAAGGCCCAAAAGCTCAATGATTTAGTAAGTGAATCACATTTATAGTAGTAAGCCAATTATCCAATAAAAGAATCGCCATTTGTTTTTTCATGAAAAGTTTCTTAAAAAGCTCAATGATTTCAATGAAAATCTGAAAGCTTTGATGATATTCTAAAATTTTAAATCCTTGATATGTAATATATCAACGAAATTTGAAATATCCCCAAGTATTAGCAATCTATTGAAGATACAAGGGAAGAAAGATTCTTGGAATATTTTGTATGACCCCAAGCAAAATGGGGAGGTTTTTCCAAATCTCGTTGATAATTGATATTGAAAGCTATAGTACCAAGTGTTTCCATGGTATGGTTGACATTACAGTAGTAGTGCAGGAATTTTATGTTAGAAACTTAGAATTATATCACAACCTAATAGAACTGACAGGGATCAATGGGGTTGGATGATTTGTTTCAATAGATTGAATACTTTTCAGTAGCACTAAAGAGAAAGTTGTATATACTTGCCATTGTTATATATTTTTATCATAAAAGAACTATAAAATGCCCACATATTTGTTTTTCTTGTACTGATCAGTGATATGGAGAAGTAACCAAGTTTCTTATGTGTTAACTCGATTTTTGTGTAACAAAAGAATGTTCCTAAGAGTTTAGCTAATATGGATCATTGTCCGATATGATTGCATTGCCTCAAACACTAATCATGAACAATTGACTATTTTTTCTGTGAATGGTTGGCTTAAATATTTCCATACAGTTTAGTATGCATGGACATCATTCAACAACTTACCAACATGCACAATTTATTACCTGCATACAGGTGCATGGTAGTACTATTTTTGTCAACAGGGCTATATATGGAAAAATCTGAAGATTAAATGGCTTTTTTCTTTCTTTTTTTTCTTGGATGTGTGGATAATAATCTCTCCAACATGCACAATCTGTTGTGTATCTATGGCTATAGAAGTATCACTAATTTGTTGTTTCTGATCTCAGCAAAATTAACTGTTTTTTTTTCCAATTTTTCACCACAATAATCTTCCTAGTTTCATTTTCTTTTTGAACAATAATCTTCCTTATTTCAGATTTTAGGACTTTTTCCCTTTAGCATACTTACACCTACCTCATTGGTTCAGGTAATCAAGAAGGACCATGTAGCTGCTGGGCTCTGCTGTATCCAATTATTTATGAACTCATCTTTCCAAGAGGAAGCTATAAGGCATTTGGAGAATGCCAAGGTATGTTCTTTCAGAAGGCAATGACCTAGATAAATTTACATGCCAAGTGTACCCATATTAGACACAATGCATGATGTGATACCAGATACTGAATGAACACTTATAAAAATATCTAAACAGTATATTTTAATTGTAAATGGTAAAAGCTTCATTAAATTTGACAAAAGTATTCATGCTGTAAACAGTACCCAATTATCTCAGTCCTAGTTCAATATTCAATTCAATTAAACTGAATTTGGATCTCAAAAATCAGATCTGTTTAGAATTTGATTGAATGGTTCCATCTCAATTTTATCCAATTAATATAAGTCTAATAATATTGGTATGTATGTACGCATCATCATCATCATCCAAGCCTTATCCCAACCATATGGGGTTGGCTACATGAATCATGTTTCACCAGTCCATTCTATTTAATGCCATGTCCATTGTTACTACTACTACCCATGTTTTTTTACCCCTTGCCCTTCTACCCCCTTCAACTTATAACAAATCACCTTAAGGGTGGTGTTGATGGTCTTTTATGCATGTGGCTAAACCATCTTATTCTACTTTCCCTAATTTTTTTCACCTATTGGGGCTACTCCTAAGTTCCTATGCATGACTTCATTTCTGATTTTCCACTCATCCATCTCAGCATATGCATTCTGCTACACTCATCTTTTGGACATATTGTTTCTTGACTGCCCAACACTATGCTCAATACAATGTAGCTGGCCTTACAACTGTTTTATAGAATTTTCCTTTTATAGAGCTTGAGAGTTCAGCAATGAGGGTCTGAGAATGAGAGTTTCGAACCTTCTCTCTCTCAGCACCCTAACATTCTTTTATTAAGATATATTTGAATAATTACAAGGAGGCCCTTAGGTGGGCAAGAATTTACAAAGAACTTAATATAGACAGGA